GGGGGAGAGTGGTGCACAGACCATAGGGTTGGACACGGGACATGTGACCCACCCCTTCCACCCCAGTTTAGCCCATCCTGTGTGGGGCACAGGTCCCCTTGTCATGTGCTGTTATGGCTGCTGTAACATGCTCCCTGTGATCGCAGGAAAAGAGCATGAGATAGACCCGTGGAGGCTGCGGGAGGGGGAGAGAGAGGGAAGCAAAGGGACAGGACTGGACTAGTCTGCTCAGCCAGTTGTTTAGCTGCATTCACCCAGTTTGTCGACTTGTTGTTATGTCCGTATTGTCTCTTTTTGTCCATTGTTCTCTTTTCCCGATCTGTTTTTCCCATATTGTTTCTCTTAGGCAATTTCTAAACACACATCATATTTGAATTAAGGTGTGTACTTTAATGTGTGGATCATAAGTCCATGTATTTATAACCCTGATCTGCAGGCCGGGTCATTCCAGATATGATTACTTTATGTCTCTTCTGTACTCGTAGTGACCTAGCCCGAGGTATGCAGTAAAACACATCGCCTTGTGTTTTCTGCCTCCAACCCTTTCCACAACTTCTCCCTGTTCTCTCTCGCGCTCTCTCTGTCTTTCCCTTTAAGAGAAACTTTTGGCAGCATGAAACTTTTGGCAGCATGGAACAATTTCAGAACCATTTCTGGGATTGCGTCATGTGATGTTGATGGAGGATGCTCATTGGACTGTCAGGCAGGTCCTCCTTCTCCCTGTCAGGCGTTCCACAGCAATCCCTCTCTTTGCTCCTCTGCTGTTATAGGTCTGGATGTGATTCCGACTCTGACTCTTATGTGTTGGGATGTGGTCTGTAAGCTCATTGCTGACATTCTTGAGACGTGATGCCAGGGTTTTTATTTTTTATTTCCCGCTTTTCTGCACGTCTGTGTGCAGTTAAAATGATCCCTCCTGGAAACGCTGTCTGGATCCTCCTCTTTACCCACTTTGGTATATCTTGCCTTGTCCACGATCACGTTTCATTTCTACTCCCAGGCAATAATGGCCCCACTTAATTAGTTTTATTAGACGGTGGGCGTTGGTGGAGGGTGGGGTTTATAATCACTTAATATTGACTTTGATGAAAGTTAATCTAACATCTGGGCTGCGCTCCAGATCTTTTTTGCAGCTAAGCTCTCACTTATGTCTTTTTCGTATTAGCTGGGCACCTGACAAAGAAAACCAATGGCGCAGCATGAACTGAAGTAGCAAGTAGAACAGAAGGAAATAAGCTACCTTTATGAGTGGTTTTGGATTCCTGCCATGGTTCACCTTGGCACTTATCCCTGGATGAATATTTTACAGCAGCTCAAACTGCAGCAGTAATACAAATATTCAGGAATTACCATTTTCGAAGTACTGCACTCATTGTGCAATATCATCGGTGTAGAGCGTTACTATATCTCATATTAGCACTTAACAAGTCTCGACTCTATGTCCCTAAGGTTCTCACCATCTGTAGTCGAGATTTAATCTAGCACTGATTGACACCTAATGTCAGCTAATTAGAAGGTGCGAGTTAGACGTATACATTTGGGATGCAGATGGTGCAAACAATTTACGGTGATAAATGAGACACAGGTTATATCATTTTAGAATATTCCTTCAACTCCACTAAATAAAAAATTGGCCTGGTGTTCACTTGTTCATATTTAATTGCTGGACTTGTAATGTGGTGTCGGTTACACACACATATCATTTTACATGACAAGACATGTTGTTCTTAATTAAGCCCAGACCCCCAACAGCACAAGACGATTCATCATTAGATTCAACAATTTGTCAAATGTTGACATTAAGGCTTCTGCAGACAGTGTCTTTAAATCTAACCTGGGACTGCTTGTAACGTCAGTCCCTAGATTAAGGGACACATGCGTTCCATTTCAGACATGATGTAAATAAATCAAAGGAGGAAAAGACGAGTCACTGCTCCACTGCATGCTAAGAAGCACTTCGTTTAATTTGTTGGGGTAAAAAGAAAAGGAAACTCCCTAGCCTCTTCCCTAGCTACGCCACCAAAATTAGGGTAATGTCTTTATTTTGTAGCTTTCACCACCCATTTAAAATGACATGCCTGAGTCAGTTTGTGGTACAGCGCGTAATTACAGCAGGCCTCATCTCCTGCTCATTGACCACTGATGCTGTTTCACTGAGACTCCAAAACCCCAGGCTTCCAGTTCACATGTCTTTTCCATCTTTGTATCCCCTTATTCATCAGATTGAGTTTCTTTTACCTCTTTCTTTAGGATTAATCCGTTTTTGATCCTAAAGGGATTCTTTTTGCGCTACGTGATCAATTCCTCTCTTTTCGTTTGTCAACAATTGTGAATACTTTAACTAAAGCTGAAATCTGTCAATGCCAAACATCTCCATCTTCCAGCTGCTTACTGGTATATCTTTGGGCTTGGTCTGTTGGTTGGACAAAACAAGACATTTTTGCTTCAGAAAATAGTAATTTATCCCTATTTTCTGCCTTTTCAAGGTTCATCTGAGGAAGCAATCATCAGATTTAGTCTATGTCCTTTTGTTAAACCCCAAAAACGGAACTGTGCCAGTCTTCAATGTCTTTTCTCTCATTGGCTGAGCAGGGGGGTGTGTTGGTTGTCACATGGGTTGTTATCCATTCCATGCTTTGAACCTTAAAGTCTTTTAGGCCAACAAGGGATTTGCATTAGGAATAAACATCTCGATTTAAATAAAGGGAGTAAAAGCAACACCAACTGAGATAAATCATACAAAACATTTAAATCCTATAGCAATAATATTTTCCCAGATACTGTCAAGAAGAGACGCTGCCAAAGATGAGACATTTATTTATTTTTAGCTAGTAATTGAAGTGTCTTGTGACAGTATATTTTTAGCCTTCTTTTAGGATAACAAACTGAGGCTGTTTGTGTTGTTTTCTTCTCTCTGGGCCACTGTCGAGTGCTCGCATACTATTCCCCTCTCACATCCGCCTTGTGACACAGAAAGTCATTGTGACAAAGAGGTCACCCCTCCCCTACTCGCTGTATCTATGTTTATATCCTATCTGTTTTTACTCCATCTCTACAGCCGCCCCCCCCCGTGCCCTCTGGCCTGCTTCTCCAGTGCATCCCTCTCTCTCTTCTACACTACTGTCTCTGCCCTCTCGTGTGCGCTGGCACTTCCTCTCGGACTCTAACAGCGGAGGGCAATACATGCAAGCTCATCTGAACTACACGTGTATTGACGTGTAATTGCCGCATATGCAGAGTAAAATTAGGCCTAACATGTGACACAGGAATTTCTGCTGCTGCAAAAAAACATGGTGCTTAACCAGCATTTCTTGTAACTTACTGGGCATGTGGTTGTTTAAATAAGTACAAAATTATGAAAAAGCTTATTTTCCCTGTGACCACTGCTTTAAGCATATTCAATAAATGCCAAAGACAACTAAAGAGATTGAAAGACTTTCACATTTGCTAATGTAACAGTTAAGTAGAAGTTGTAGGTGCTGGTGTGAGCTTATTCCAACTCCTACTAGCCGTGATGCTGAGCTGTCCCCTAATTACAGTCAGTAGCTCCCCACTTTATAAGGGATATGTGCACTTTTATAGTCGGTCACACTCACAGACTAAGAGTGTCCTTGTGTAGTCTTCCTTTTTAGTGTACATAGTTAAATATGTTTGACACAGATATTCAAGACGGCACGAGTCCTCTCTCATCTCATCTGTCATGTCTTTAAGGATTGGCTTGCTGCCTAAGATTGTTAATTAGATGTTGGAACAGAAACATGCACATGTAGAAAAAGAGTAGTGCTTAAAATAAAAGGGGCTTTCCTTTTTTTGGTAACTTGCCAACCTTTGACAAGTTGTCCTGACTTGAACGTAACAAGCAGAGGACACACTCTAATGAATGCTCACTGTGTTCTTGACATCTTATTCCGGTCTAAAATGTGCTGCTTCTTTTTGCAGGAAGCAAATCGTTTTCAGCGCCGACACATTGGAGTTTAACAGTTGCTTTGAAAAGTTGCTGGACTCAAAGTTGTTTAAACTAATATTGTTCGTGGCAATGCTTAATAATGCTGCAAGGCCCAATTCAAAACGAATGACAGTGATTCTCAAATTGGTCAAGTAGTTAAGCTACAATCTTTAAGCACACTAGTTATAGTCAAAGAGCAGGACTCAGCCCTGTGAGCTAATCGGAAACCTCATTGATACACTTTATCCTTGGGCTTTAACGCATGAGTAATGTCTCACACTATTACTGCAATGGCAGATTTGATTTATGCCGCCGAATGTCATACACATAATATCATTCAAGAGTGAGACATGCAGTAGAAGCCTGAAGCTCAAAACCTGTTCTCTAGCTGAGCGTGCCCGGGACAGGAATGAGTACAGATCTGGTCTAATAACCTCATGCATTATTTAGCGCTCTCTCAATACTACTGTGCGTTTAGTGTAATGGCCTGTCATGGCTGAATGCAATCACAGAAGAGTGACTTCACTGATCAGTTGATGATATCCAATGTAAATGGGTGTTTTCCCTCTTGGTTCACAGTGAGTGATGAGTGTGAGTGCTTGTTGGGATTAGTTTGCTGACAGCAGAACAGATTTGATGTTCTATAAAGCACCCTGCCATTTATTCTGGTTAGTGTTGTGTAATATTATATTATGGCAGTTTTTTAGCCAAAAGACTCTTATATATTCAAAGAAGCAGAAGATGCTGCCATTTTTCAGTTTGGTCATCCATATACTTTGTATGTTGATAATGTAACCTCTTCAATAGGGCTGCACCATATGAGAAAATATATTTAATGATAAGTTGCAATCAATTAACTAAGGGGTTATCTAAGTCAGTCATCATGGCTGTCTGCTCTTCCCGGTAAATTGCTCAAATAAAACAAATTCCTTGTTGATTTAAAAAAAAAAGGAAATTATTTCCAACATTCTTTCATTGAAAATCAACATTTGCACCGCACACAAAAAGAACCAATTAAAAAGAGTCATAGTAACGCATTTCTCTACAAAAACTCTCAACTAGCTAACAATAAATCCCAGAGTGTAATCTGGTGCGATTTAAGTAAAGAAGGATATCTTGTGTAGCCTTGCTCTTCAAAGTCAGCAGGAGTCTAGAAAGTAGTGTTCATAACCTGACCAAGCTTTCTGTTTATTTGCTGACTTGTTCTCACTTTAAAGCCACCAAAATAATCATTATCTAACAGATATCCCCGATGCGTTGGTGGGGGGGGTTCAGGCTGCAATAACTCGATGTACTGGCTCGTTCAGAAAACTATTTGCCTGTATACAAACTCCAAGTAGCCTCAGACTGTTGGCCAGCATGTCACTCACATTATGTAGCTGCATGGAGTGAGTGCTTGAAATGTAAAACCTGTGCCCATTCATATTACATCACCTTGGTGACTAGTGGTATCATATAGTAAATAGCTTGGAGGCCTTATCTTGATGTGGCCATGAATAAACCCTAATTGTAAAGTGGCCATGAAGATATTAAATGTGTAGAATACAGTAGCATCGTAGCCTGGTATGAAGGACCTACGTGTGTACCTTGCCTCTGCACGGGGGAGTTCAGGACACACTCCCTGCCTGTTCTGTCCTTAGAAGCATGTTGGTTATTGCAACAAAACAAATGGTGTTATGCAGAGGGACAGTAAACGTTCCAATAAGAGTACCGGTAAATGAAATGTTGTTTGTCAGGTTACGGATAAGATACCCACATGTTTTCTCCATTCTGTACATTGTTAGAAATTGCTGCTAAGCTTTGAATCCAGAGCTCACTGTTTCAAGAGTTTACTGATAAGAATAGACAAAGTTTTCTAAATCTACTTTTCTTTTTCACACATGTGACAAAGATGTCCTATTGTTTGTATTCGTGTGCATAAATCACATGGAATCTGAACTTTTTTACTCCAGATTTGGGCCACATTCAGCTGCTTCTAAATCAGATGCAGTTCTGTTTTTTGTTCTTCTTTTTGCAACTATCGATTCATAACTGATGTTGGCCGCTTTAGAAAGATATTGTAAACAGCCAAACAGAAACAAGGGCTCTGATCAATTAACCTGAGTTGAGCACTAAGGCTCTGTGGCGGTAGCCCATCCTAAGTTTCCCAGGTTGATGGGATTCCCATTAACCTGATGAGTCTCTCTGTGGTCTATTGTTTATCAGTTCGCTGAAATCCCCCCACCAAAATATGCTGTCAGCTGCTTCTCCTTACAGTCGTGTGCATGTTTACCGTTGCACTGTACCGTAACAACCGTGTCAGATGTTCCTATGTGAAGCATGTGGTGCTAAGATACAAGTGGTCCACGTACAGTAGCTCGGCTTGCCTGCAGCAGTGAGGAGTTGAAAAGCTCCTCTGTTTCCTTTCCGATTTTGACCTTTTTGTTTTATGTCCTGTTCATAAAATTGGCCATGGAAAGAGTTTGGTTTAAAGGTACACTGTACATAATATATTCAAAGTTGCACTGAAGTAGAAAAACAACATGACAAAGTAAACCGTTGTTGCATTTAAAAGAGTATGTGAGAACTGAGTGATGGATTGATCAGTCAAAAACATTCAAAATTATTGATCCCGGCCCATTCCTCTCATTGGGTGCTGATTTGTGAGTTTGTGGAGGATCGTATCGGTTTAGTTACCCTCCCCTCTCTTGGCCCTCCATACCCACCCATCATTTGCTTCGCTCTCACTCCGCAGTGGAAGCAAAGAGGAGAATAAGAATGGAGCTTTGTGAAAAGGGACAGTGATTGTTTGTTTATGAGGATGCTAGCCTTGCGGTGACATGCCTTTTTTTCCCTCTCCTTCTCACGAGGCCGTTAAGTGAAATAGATACTCGGAGCAGTATGTAATCAAATGTAACCCAGATTCAGCATTTTGGAGTGGAACAAGAGTTTTTCCTCTTGATTGATACGGCTCCAGTTCCTCACCCCGGGACAAAAACACTGGAGTTGAATTCTACTCCGAAGGGGAAACCTCAGGACTTCAAATGTCCTGAAGGAAGGGACAAAGTTAGTAGAATTTTTAAAAAGAGACAACCCTTTATAAGTAATCACAAAAAAGCAGATGGGGCTTGAAAAATGTAATCTTAATCAGAAAATGATGGTAGGTCATTTGAAATATTATTTTTGTTCTCGCGTATCTTGTGCAACACTAACCAGATTATAATTTAAGAAAATGTTTTTAAATTCACTTCAGATGCCACAAGTTGGCAACCCATCTCATCTTTTTCCCTTATTGAGTTATTGAGCAAGTGAACCGTTTGTATAACCTGGAGCTTATTTGTTTGTCTTTCTCCATTTGCCCTCTCTTTATCTAGTGATGGAAACCACAGTTGTGAGTACGTCCACTCTGGCCCCCGATGAGTTCGATAGGAACGTGCCGCGGATCTGCGGCGTGTGTGGCGACAAAGCCTCCGGATTCCACTTCAACGCCATGACCTGTGAGGGCTGCAAGGGGTTTTTCAGGTACACAAATGCTTATATTGACATATTCAATGTACACACACACGCGCACTAAGTATGCCTCGTGTAGCAGCGCAATTACTTATATCACCCTGATGAAAATATAGTGATGCATGACGACTGGCAAGTATTTACACATGAAAACATTAGCATACAAACGCCAGTCTTAACATGCGTTTATAATGACCAACCACCCACGCACACACACACACACACATATTAAATATAATTACCACCCACAGTTTGCATTAGAAACACACTCAAAAGCACTGACAACATCCACGTTCACAGCAGGTAGAGAATACAAATGAGCTCGCTCCTACAGGTAATGCCTTGGCTGCTGTCAGATCATTGATACACACATGAGTTTCTAATATAAGATGCATCTATAGCAAGTAAAGATTGTTTGAGCTTGTGTGTGTTTGATGTATCCGCCCGTTTACGTCCGTTCCTCCCGGCGGGTGGTGTTGAGACTTTAAGGGGGAGGATGAAAAAGAAAGGATGTTTAATAATGTCCTTCCTCGTCGCTCAGCTGGCCCTCGTTTGAACTCTCACCACGCATGCATCCGTGTGTTTTTCATCAAATCTGTGAATAAATGATTGTACATGCAGTCCGTTGATGACTGACTCACTACGCTTTGCGTCACACTTTCGAAGGACTTGTCTTTAGATTTCTCAGTACTACTCATCCATATTTATGCCGTTTCACTTAAAATTATTTAGCCACTTATTCAATTCAAAGTCAATCCAGTGAGTTGCTATAATGTTCATACTCAAAAATAGAGCTTTAACTAGATTCTTGTCAGTGAATCGTACTATTGTGTGTCCATGAACTGATATATGTGTGTTTGTGTATTTTAACAGACTGTAAAATGTATACATTCTATTTAGGCGCAGCATGAAGCGCAAGGCCGCCTTCACGTGTCCCTTTAACGGCAGTTGCACCATCACCAAGGACAACCGGCGCCACTGCCAGGCATGCCGGCTCAAACGCTGTGTGGACATTGGCATGATGAAAGAGTGTAAGTATGACACAAGACCCATATGCTTTAGGGCAATATCACATTGTGTGATGCATGACATGTATTCAAATAGGGATAACCCCTTTGTGGGGTTAAATAGTGGTTATGAATATATTCATAGGCATAATATTTTAACAGACTTATGTGCTCATTAATAGCAGCTATTTGCAGAGAAATTAGACATTAATAGCAGTCTACTCTTCTTGTTTCTTTTTTTGGATGAAACGCAAACATTACACAACTCTGTGTTTGCAGTATTGGGGGCCTACTGTCCCTCTTGTACATATATTATGTAACATTTGGACAGCGGTCAAGTATCTCTGGGTCTTCGCCCCCATTACAGTGTTGACATGTTCTGTTTGTACAATGTGGGGAGGCTCCACTTGTTCAGAGTGACTTTACTCCATCTGAGGTTCAAACACCTGCTGTTATGTACAAACTAGCAAGGCCTCTTCTTTTCTCACAGCCTTGTTTATTTTCATGGTCTGTAAATAGCAGGTACGTTTTTCCCCTTGTTTTCTCCTCATGTATCCGGATATTGTCCCTGGGCCTCTTTTAAGCAAAGGCCTCTCACTTCCAGCTGAACGTTCTTTCCTCCCCAGTGTTTCTGGGAAGAACTGTTAAATATAGGGACGGTACTACTACTTTTATCGATACCACTTATCGCTCTGGTCCTTTTAACGGTATTTGTACTGTCTATCTCCCGATAGTATGGGTGGAATCAAGATGGACGGAAACAACTCCTAGTTTTGATGATTTAATCAAATCTAAATAGGTTGTTAACCTTAGAAGAAAAAGGAAACAACAATACAACAATTAGGATCACACATATCCCATACACATTAAATCACATTCAGTACAATAATCACACTTACTAGTGGCCTCTCCTGATTCCTCAATCTCAATGACGTTAATTTATGTTCCCCTCTATTTATAACACATCAATAAACCCCGCGAATCTCCACCCAGATTTAAAGTCACATTCACATAAACTGAACCCCATTAATTTAACCCTCATACACCCAACACAAAACCATGAGTTTACAGCACAGTATTCTTATCAGTTCTTTGGAAAATAAATAAGGTAAATGAACTAAACAAATTGTGAACAAAATTAACATAGCTTTTTATTTAAATAAAATAAATAATATTTCACATCAAAAGAAACAACAATGTTTTAACAAATCGTATTAAATAATCTGACGACAGAACTGTAAACAGCATAGCTGAAACTTTAACAAACTAAATAACTCAGTTACCTCTAATCATTAACCCATATTTTTTATCATTGAGTTAACTCCATGTGTTGCTGCTTGCATACATAACACCTGACGTGGAAAAGCTACTACTACTACTACTACTACTACTAGAGCTACTAGAAAGACAGTTGAACCCGGTGCATTCCTCAGTCTGAACGTGGTGCACTTTTGCTAAATGTTTCGACAAATTGCTCGTGTTACCGCCCTGACATGCTAAACTCTTATTGCACTTTTGGCAATTGTCCACATCGAGACGGGTAAAGTTTAACCACACCTCGGAGCGCGTTCTCTCCGCCATCTCCTCCGTGTGTGTGTGTGTGTTGCTGCATGTAGCAGCCTCGTGTGTGTGTAAACTGCCCCGCCCCCTCGCACACAGACAGGGGAGAGAGATATCTGGTCTGGATTGGAAAGATCGAAAATACTAAAAATGATCAGACGCATTTTGCAGTCTTTTTGCGTATTAGAAACAGAGTTGGCAACACTAAAACTGCAATATAATGTTTGTGTAGCATCATTTATGACATGTTTTTTAGATGTCTCCAGTGCCGATGAAAAGACCGATAACGTCGGAGCTTAACGGTACCACGGTCTTTAATAATTCAGCCCCGGGGCCCGTTTAATACCGGGGCTCGGTACCCATCCCTAGTTATATACTGTACTGTTAAGAGGAGCCAGTGGCATTGCCGTTTCAAAACAGCAGCATGTTGTTGAGACTCGGCTGTCTCTGTCTCTGTGAGCTAATTCAGTGGTTAGAACAACAAGGAGCAAACAGAACAAAGACAATGCGTTCACTTGTACATTGCAGCAGGGGTCTCCATCTGGACCCACCCCCTCCCATTTGCTTCTTTCAGAGAATAACAACCCCTGCCCTGACAACCTAATGTCACATTGACATAGCTGTCGTAAAAAATGAAATGAAAAGCTTTAAAAGTGGTGTACCGCAACCAATTTATTTTGTCCTAAAGTATTTTTCCCCACTAGTCGCCCTGCTTTTACCCCGCTTGAGGTTTAGTTTTACTCTAACACTCTCTGTCTCTCTTTGTCCCTTTTTTATATTGGCCCCCTCAGTCATTCTGACAGACGAGGAAGTGCAGAGGAAGAAGGACCTGATTCAGCGGAGGAAGGATGAGGAAGCGATGCGCGAAGCGGAGAAGGAGGCGCGGCGGCCCCGGCTGAGCGATGAACAGAGCCATGTCATCGCCACGCTGGTGGAGGCGCACCACAAAACATACGACGACTCCTACTCTGACTTCTGCCGCTTCAGGGTTTGTGGATTATTCAGATATACTCATCGTGATATATTAACATTTTGTCGACACATTTATTTCAGCTTCTAAGGGTTTATATTGACAGACAGAGATAAACGATTATGCAATTATGCTTGTCATTTCAACAGAGTGGTTGAAAGCATGCTCCTGTTGTTGAAAGCATACTCATGTTGTTGAAAGCATACTCATGTTGTTGTTTGCTCACATCAGAAATGTTTCTGCTTTGGCTTAACTCCACGGCCTGTCAACAAGGGTCATGTTTTGTATTGTAAACACACACATCTCACACCTTCCAGTTAACCTTTGGAAACTGTTAAATCACCCTCAAACACCTCAGACCTTTCTAACCTGTAATTCTAGTGCATCAGAATTCATCCTTGTGTTTTGTTTTTTCAACAGATATTCAACAAAACTCTACTTCATATTATATATAATGGGAATCAAAATCACAAATTGGTGGGCTGTATTTGAAGATTGTGAATGACGATGCATTTTTTTCTTACAGCATAATTGTGAAATATTCCAAGATTATTATTATTTCATTTTTTTGGTGACTAGACTAATTAATAATCCTCCGTCTCTCTCCGTCCACTTTTCTGCTGTTTAGCCCCCTGTACGTGAGGGTCCGGTGACGCGTAGTGCCAGCAGAGCGGCCTCCCTCCACTCTCTGTCTGATGCCTCCTCCGACTCCTTCAGTCACTCTCCAGGTAAGAGTCACACACCGTGGAGGCTTCAGTCTGAATCAAGTGCAAACTGTGACTGTCCAGGGCAGAGTCCTGCATCGGGTCGGGTACCCGCGGGTAAATAAGTGATTCGCGGGTGGTATTTTTTCAAACGCTTTTTTCCGGGTTCGGTTCTGGGTAAAACAAAGATGATGCGGGTCGGGTTGCGGGTGTTGCATAATAAATATATTAAAATAATAATAATTTAGTTTAATGTTTAAATCCTCAGACCTGTCCCCCGCGGGACCGCGCATAATCATAACCTCTGCAGCGCATCAATCTGCTGCTGAGCGCGCCACATTCGAAATGGCTGAGGTGAAGCTCTCTAGCGGAGAATACAGCATTTTCAATAACTCTTCCTCAAGAGCGAAATCCATCGTCTGGGAGGCGTTTGGTTTCATCTTAGACGGAGAAAAGAACCAACATCCCACACTTTTTCAGACAAATATGCAACTGCGTGTGTTAATAATTGCACGTTTTCACTGCTCATATATATGCGGGGTCGGGTCGGGTTGCAGATCTTGTGCCGACGGGTCGGGTCGGGTTGCGGAACTAATTGGCAATATGTGCGGGGGGCGGGTTCGGTATTGCAAGTCGCGGGAGCGGGTCTTGAAAATCAGACCCGTGCAGGACTCTGGTCCAGGGTAACAATCAAACTAGTTTCAGCAAATCTTATATTAAAAATAGCAAAAATAAGCTGTCACTTAACTGAAATGGTAACTGAGGTATTAAACACAAATAATGACTTTTAAATACAAGGTGATCTGTCCCACAATTTTCAGGCCAGTTTTGAGAAAATCAGTTAATACTTAATTTAACACGGCAGTGTTTTCCAGTTCAGCTGTTAGCATGTTGGCGTATATAATCTGTTGTGCTGCTTTACTGAGAATCCAGAGGAAATTCTGTGAACAACCCCAACCCCGACACCTGACTCCTACTTGTAAACATGAGTTCATTAATGCACCCGTCACTAATGGAGTGCACACAGCGAGGAACACAGTCCCGTGGCCTACCGCCAACACTCAGTGGAGACAAATGACTGAAAACAACCCCAGCAAGCTTTGCATGCTTCACATGTTTTCATAGCTGTCACCTCAGTTTCATCCCACTCCTACTGACCTCGTGTAGTTTCAGATGATCCTTTTCCATCACCAGGCCCTCTCGGTCCCATAATTTCTCTTGTTTTTCTCAGCGCTGAGCGTGTCTTTTCATAAAGAAATAGTGTGACTTCATGGTGCTTTGTGAATGACCTCTGTTTTCTCTTCTGACCTCCTCTCTGCTGTCTTCATCTTGCTCGCTGCAGAGTCAGTAGACACCAAAATGAACTTCAACAACCTGTTGATGATGTACCACGAGCAGGGCAGCAGCCCCGACTCCAGCGAGGAGGAGGGCTCCAGCTTCTCCATGCTGCCCCACCTGGCTGACCTGGTCTCCTACAGCATCCAGAAGGTCATCGGCTTTGCCAAGATGATCCCCGGGTTCAGGTACGTGTGTGGATTTAATGATTGCAATAAAAAAACACTTGCTCTAAAGTGATGATGGGAAATTCCTTATAGAGATAATAAACGCACATTATTGACTTGAAAAAGCTATACAGACTATGGTAAAACAGTGAAAAATGACTTAAAAAGAAAGTTAAATAAAAACAAACATCCTGTATTCAAGCACTTATTTAAGACTGTTTGTTTTTACTTAAAGGAATGTCCAGTTTGTGCTGCAGTTTAGTAAGTAACATTATAATTGTATGCTTGAGTGCCATTTAAAGAGTTTTTAGCATATTTTGAGGATTATCAGGATTATACCTCTGTTTGCGTCTGACAGACTTTTGACTCTTGTCACTCTGCATTAGTCAGATGTTAGACAGACAGAAACCTGCCTTATCTAGAGACAATTTGACTCGGAGACAGACAACACATTTGTTTTCTTTCCAGGTTTACAATGAACTGTAAGATGGCCAGTAAACATGTCGGTTAGCTAACATTTCATTTTTATTTAATCGTTTATTTAGCAGGGACATTGCACAGTAATGAACACTTAAAGCATTCAAATGCGTCAAGCGTAACAGTGCCAGATTTAGCTTTGAGCTCATTTCCATCCGCAGTCCCTGACATAAAACATTTAAGAAAATTACATTTTACAAACATAGCAAAAACAAAATACATGATATGCAAAAAGTGCAAAAGAGCAAGTGTTTATGACATGTTAGTACAATATAGCAGCAGCAACAACATATAAAAAGGAGATACCCCTGTATTAAAGTGCATTCAGCGGTGATTACACGTCTGTTTGTTTTTCAACCATTCTTTGAGTTGACCTTTTCTACTATTGATGATGACATGTGGCCAATTCAGTCCGGGCATACCAATATGACATATTGATAGAGAAGAGGGTACACATTTACTGATCTTTTGCAGAGGACTTCCTGATTGTCTTTGTTGTTTTTCAGTTTTGTTTATATAGAGTAGAGCAGCTCAACTTAACCAGTGAGGACTTCTTGAAAATATTAGTGATAACAAAAACGCCCAGACAAAATATTCAGAACTACTTGTCTAGATTTGTTTAATGTTCATGTCTGCGTGACTCTTTACCTAAATGTGTGTGGAAGACTTTGTACACCTACTTGTTTTTCTGCCTGATTAGTCGATATTGTGCCGCAGTGATGGCTGTGGTCTAAAGGCCAGAGATTACTGATGGAATGTATTTTACAGATAGCTGACACATTGTGGGAAATGTTTTTATTTGGTGTTGTTCCTTCAAGGTTGTACATTTGCCAAGGACTTGTTGTCCTGCGTACTGTTCAGCCCTTTTTAGTATGTTAGTTGGTGATTCACTGACCTGCTTTTGGAGGGAGACACACCTCTAGTTATCTGATCATCACAACAGGTTTTTAAGCACGTAGACGGATCTATTTCTGGGAATTCAATGTCTTATTTTGAATTGCACAAGGCCAATGAAGAGATATAAAGGTTTGAGTTGCAGTATAACCTTGAAAACAGTAAAGGATCATATACCAGTGGCAAAGTCGACACCTTTATTGTGACTGTAAAGGCAATATAACAATGTTTGGCCAAGGCTTTATTCATTGTTTCCCTGCTCCCCGTCCCCTTCCACGCATGGAAGCTGCTACCTTTCATCGTGTTTGTCTCTCGGTGTGTTGACAGGGACAAGCGCTCAGCGTCTCGGGGGTCACCCCAAAGTCGAGGCTAAAACCAGTCGTGGCCTGTATTTCCTGAAAGTTGTCGTTCCCACTGGCAGCGAGTGATGGATCTACTCGGATTACCTCTGGAATGTTTGTCCACTTATGATCTGCTCCCTAAGCACTGAAAACACCCAGACCTCCCCCGAAGACCTGCGGGCTTCGGCTCATGTCTCCTGCTAGTTCACGACTTTAATAAAATAAAAATAAAAGACATTTCCTAATATTACTAGACGCCGGATTTGACCGTGACAGTGAGGACTCTTGAAACGGCGTGATTTATGTTTATCAAATGGGTTTTCCATACACGGGGAACCATCACAGCGAGAGGAAGCAGACGGAAAGAAATATTTTGAATGTTTTTGTCTTCCAGCACAGCTCGTACCTGATAAACATTTAAGACAGCGACTGACCTTGATACTCTAGTCGGTTGATAATCAAAATCCCTTTGACATGAATCACAGCTGATTACATATTCCAGAATCTTCACTTGTTTACCCGTATCTCTTAACCATCAAGTGAAACATGCCCAGTACTGCATGATAAAGGTTATTTAAGGACTATGTATTTAATAATTAACTATATATGGTTCACTAACTTAAGTGATATCGTTCCCCGCAGGGAGCTGACTGCAGAGGACCAGATCGCCCTGCTCAAGTCCAGCGCTATCGAGGTGATCATGCTGCGCTCTAATCAGAGCTTCAACCTGGAAGACATGTCCTGGAGCTGTGGTGGGCCGGACTTTAAATACCAGGTCAGCGATGTCACCAAAGGTCAGTATTAACTACGCCACGTGTGCCGTTTGGCTATGCATACGCACGCTCTCAGGCTCATTCGGCTCGGCTGAAGAAAGGACGCACACGTTACACATTAACATTTCTTTTCAGAGCTTGAAGGAAGTGGCCCCGCGTTAAGATAGTGACCAGATCATTAGTGTGGGAGTACTGGAAAGGTTGCTGGCAGTTGCCTGAGCACACACCCACAGGAAAGAGGATGCTAATATACGTTCTTTCTGCTAAAGCAGTCCTACATATCCGCAGAGGCCCCTGTGGGCAAGGCTTTCATTTGCCTTTCAAACAAGACCCCTCTCTCTGGGATCAAGCAAAGAATGTCACTCCTGACCTGCGCAACACACAAAACAACCACTGTCTGCAGCCGAGAGGCAGCTCTGTGCTGCTCCTCTTAAAACATCAATGAAGGAACTGACAAGGACATGACAGGAATGTTTATAATGCACAATATCCAATCAGAAAATATGAAAGTATTACAAAAAAAGATATAAAAGAAATAATTATTCAATAAAGTGTTTCTCTCCGACACACAATTACAATTCATTATCTTTTTTCCTGGTTCCAGTTTATTGGTTCCATGTTTGTTTTATTCATCATAGTTACTGCTTTGTATCATTACAAATATCAAATACAATAGTAAAACATTATTTCCAGAAAGTAAGATTAGTTTTTTTTTTTTAAACAAAACATTAAAAAAAATATATATTTTTGCATTAGTCTATCGCAGTGGTTCCCAAAGTGTGGGACGCGCCAATGACAGGGGGGGCGCAGAGGCATGACGGGGGGCGCGAGAGACCAGGAGGAAAAATGGTTATTAAAAAAAAAAGAAAGAAAAAAAATCATAATTTGTAAAATTATTGATTTGAAAATAATATGATACAGTACTATTACGTCTGGGTCTCTGTGTGTCATTAAAGCTCTCTGTGTGTGTGTGGAACGAGCCATTTTGTGTGCGTGCACGAGCGAGAGAGCGTACCGGTACCGGAGATCGTAGTTGTTAGCTTCTGGTCTTAGCGAGCTACGCTAACGGATACAAAGAGTTTTTTCAACAACAAAGTGGAGGAGAGTCCTCTCCTGTCTGACTGAGAGGCTCAGTGAACTAAAGGACTCTGAGTGTTTAGATAGTTAACTTTAGTCTAAGTTATCTCAGTGGATCTCAAATGTTTTGGTCACCATTAATGTAAACAATTATTTCCGAGGCACACGTTTATATGATCATGATAGTTATAAAAAAATAAGA